TGGAGGGCAGTGTCACTGGCCCTCATATGTGGGATCCGAACCGGGGCCCTCTGGCATCCCAAGCGAGTTCTTAACCATCGCGCCACTCGGCCGGCCCATGGACTCTGGGCATTTTAACGAGCAAGGGAAGAGGAGGGTTATTTCCTGGTTCTGGGTATGCCCACATTGTCAAGAAAGCTGTCTAGTACAGACTCCTGTGAGGTGTCATCAAGTGATTGGAGGTAAAACAGGCATGGCCAGTATGGGGTCCTGAAGAAACGAGGGCAGATCAATTGGCAGGAAACAACAGTGAAGAAATACAAAGGAGGTCAGATGCTTACTTACGGAGGTCTTCCTTCTGGATTGCCCTAGGGACAAGGGAGACTCCTGATAAAAGCAAACTGGGACTTTAAGGAAATTGAGGAGGGAGCTGGGAGGTCTATGGCTGGAGCTGGGCTTCCTATTACTCTCTAGTCCTGACTTCCTGTTAAATTTTATGGTTCTAACTTCCTGCTGGGGTGTAGGGGGTGGTGTACAAGAGAGCCATCTTGAGAGACTGCTCTCTTTTGCTCATGGACAGACGGCCAGAAAGTGCGTGTTCCCACACTGCTGTTGTTTTCTTTTCTTTTCCCGAATAAACCCTTTTTTTTTGGATGAACTATTTAAAAGGTTATTTTTGTCCCATTAACATTTTGGGGACTCATTCGGGATCTAGAGAAGAATGACCTCTGGTGGCTTCTGAACTATGAGGAAACCAACTTTGAGGCCTCACTGAGCCATTTGGGCTCAATGCTTTGCTCCCTGGCTTAGAAGCCTTGGGTGAGTTCTCCCCTGGAGTTGAGCCTATGTTTTGCATCTGGTGCTCCTTAGGCTTTATTCAGGAATTGGTTATTTGTGTGTGTATTTGTGTGTGTGTGTGTGTGTGTGTGTGTGCGCGCGTGTGTGTGTGTGAATGTGTTAGAGGGCTATTTGTTTGTCTATGTTGTCTGAGTACTTGTTGTGGCACATCAGCTTGAATTCTTCAGAAAAGAATCTGTCCTTTGGGCTGGCTGAGTGGCGTGATGGTTAAGAACTGGCTTGGGATGCCAGAGGGCCCCGGTTTGGATCCCACATATGAGGGCCAGTGACACTGCCCTCCACAGCTAAGAAGCTGAACAACAGCTCAACCTGGAGCTGGGCAGCCGTGAGTCACCGGCGACGGCGTAGGCTGCAGCCCCTGTGGCAGTGGGTTGCCATGGGCTACTGTATGTAGCCAGCAGCCAGCGTGAGCGGCCAGCAGCCGCAGTGAGCGGCCGTCCATAAGCCGGCGACTGATCTGTCTCGCCCAGGAAGTGCGCAATGTTGGTGCCAACTTGGGCCAGTGAAACAACGTCCTCCACAACTAGATTGAAGAACAAAAGGACAGCAACCTGTCTGTTCCCCTTCCCCCAATTCCCCAGCACTGTTCCCATCCCCCCAATTCCCCAATAAAAATCTTAAAAAAAAAAAAAAAAGAATCTGTCCTTTGAGACAAAGACTGGCCTTCGCCGTAAGTCCCTTTGAGAATAGAGGTTATTTCTACTGAAATTGGTCAGTTTTGGCCAGTTTTAGACTGTGTCGTCTCATTAAGAAAGTGAGAAGAGTGCCACCCAGCTCAACCTATAGCTTAATTCTCTGAGAGTTGGCTATTTCCCTGGAACTGGCTATTAGCCTTCGGCCTGATTCTCAGAGATCAGACTGCTCCAGAGTGAGGCGAGCTGAAGACTTGCAGGTTGCTTGAGTTGTGAGCTGTTTCAGGCCTAGTATTGAAAATGGGATCTCTGTCTAAGGGTGTCTAAGCCTTCTAAAACTGTCCCTTTTCCAGGGACACCAGCCGAGTATATGTTTAAAATCTGCAGGGAATATCTATGCACATATTTAACTAAATGGACAGATCTGACTGATAACAGAAAATCAGTGGCCACTTTGGGGAACTTTTGAGATTATGAAACTTGATGTTCTTAAAACTCAATTGGATAATAACAGTGCTGTAATTAAGAAAGAGAAATGGAATGCTAATTTTGAGTGGTATATTGAGGCTTCCAAACATGACCATGAATCTAAAATTGCCTGTTTGGATTTAACAAGGGTTGCTAAAAATTCAAAAAGAGACAAAAATGGCCTCTGAAACCTTGTGCTGTTCCTCCACAGCACTACCTTGCTCTTTCTCCTCTCCTCCTTTGTCTCAAGCTCCACCTCCAATGCCATATTGTCCCTCTCTGCTGCCTCCTCTGCCTTCAGCTCGGCCCCCAGTGACACATTCTCTTGAATCTTCTTTTTCTCCTTCGTCAGAACTTATCAATACTTTCTCATTTAAGATTAAACCCTCTGGAGAGTCTAATAAACCCCACATCTCCTATGTTCCCTGGACTAAAGCTGTTATGAGCCATTGTAAAGGAATTCCCTAAGGTAACTGAGGACTCTAATAAGTTTGCTGAGGAATTTGATATTACTATTCAGGCCTATAAAGCCTATGTTTTCTGATTTGTATCAGCTAATTAATATGTTAATTAGTGAGGCCAAGCTAGGCATTGGATGAGGATTGCTGAATGGAAGCATCCTGAAAGAGACTTAGAAAAGCAAACTTGCAATTATTGGGAAGAAGTCAGGGAATTTGCTTGAAAACTACATCAAGCAATTCCTAACACCTTCCCAAGGTCTATTGATTGGAACAAAATTCACACTTGCTCACAAAGGCCTAATGAATCTGTTCATGACTACTATAATAGATTTCAGGTAATTTTTAAGGAAAATTCTGGTTTTCCTCCAGATATTGACATCACACATGTAACCTTTAATTCTTTGTGTTTTTGAGGGACTATATAAAGATTTTCCCCTCCTGATTAGGAGATCCAGGAT